AACCCACATACAAACACCCTTGATTCTTGTACCCGCTTAGAGTCTTCATAGAGCTTCATCCGGCGCTGCGTATTCAGCTCCTCTGTCCACGCCCCCTGTCTCAGCCGCACTTCAAAATAAAAGCATTCAGATGCATTTTAAAATAAGTGGTATTAATTTCAAAAGTTTAAGAGTTTAATCAGGCAAACCGCTGGTGAAAAAGCAATCTTAAACTGACAGTTGTTTTCTAGCTGGTCCATTTGCTGGCGTTTGCTGGTAGACCATTTTGTACCGGCGTCAACCCGTGTTGATATTGTTAACAAAAACGTGAAATAAAGCTAAAATAAATTAAAGGGGTCATATGATGCGATTCAGCTGGCCAATCACAGCACACCTCGCTTTTTCAGACCGATGAGCTTTGTAAAAATCTACGCGTTTCAGAAAGGCGGGGCACAGAGGAGAAACAACAATGTACATTATGTGGAAAATAATTTTTTGAACCTTAAACCGCATAAACATTTCATTACACCTAATACACAAAATAATGTTCTTTTTAGCAACATCATATGACCCCTTTAAAATATGAATATTAGATGAAAAACTTAAAAGTGACAATTGAAAATAACTAAAATCAGTGAATGATTTCTTGGCAGTGAAATTTAAGTTAAACTGAAATTTAAAAAAAGAAGTTAAAATTAAATAGAAATATGTAGTCTATTAAAAACCTTAAAATGCCAAAAGTGCATAAAATTACTAAAATAAAATTTAAATAAATTAAAGCTAAATAGATATGTAAGAAATGGCAAAAGCGCATAAATTACTACCATTAAAATAAAGCTAAATAGAAATATGTAAAAAAGACAAAATCACATAATTACTAAAACTAATTTATATTATCTATTTTATTATAATAGTTTTTTTATATTTTGAATTTGCTTTTTAATTTTTATTACTATTTTAGTTTTTAATTTTAGTATAAGATTATGATTAGATTAGGGAGAAAAAGTTTATATTTGGAGCATGGTAACAACTAATGACGAGTTCAGACCAGCTAGAAACCAGCTATTATGTTCTAAAACACAGCTAAAACCAGAGGGTGGATAGGACACGTTACTGTATCAACATCCTTTGTTTGCCCTCTGATTTAAGGGTTTAGGGGTTGGGATTGAGACCTACAAAAATTCATTGATGTTCCAGTATTTAATGGAACAACAAGAGATGTTGATCGAAGAATACATGTCTTATCTAAATCACACCGGGAAGGTTTGCCAAGATTGTAGTAGATTCAATGGATATCTAATAAACAATTAATGAACGTGTTAAAGAGCTTGTGATTATATGCACCCATTTTAAAGTCAAGATGAAGCAGAAATAGCGACAGACCTCTTCTTCTATATAGTAATGTACATACATGTACTTCTATATAGTACGTATATGAGTTTAACGGATTATCAAAATATGTGGATGCAGTTGAGCATGAGCTTGCAGTGGCGGGACTAAATGAAGAAGATCTGCATACGTCACCAGAGAGAAGGAAGCTCCAGTTATGACATTGTAAACATCATGAGGTCAAAAAAAAAAAACATATGCATGGATGATTTGTTCACAATAATAACAATAGCATGCATTCAGAGGCTGAATTTGCACTTCACACCGACTTGAACACAATATACATTGGTTACTATACAAGAACAAACTGCTTGTAGAAAATCTAAATGATCACATCAAAGTCTCCAAGATGCTTTGAGACCGTAATGAGTTTCAGAAGTATTTTATTAGCTTCTAGATTTTTAACAAAGGTCAGAATCAATGTGTAAACCTGTGCAAATCGTCCTTATGGGCGAGAAGCCGCCAATTTTTACAACACAATGCTATATTGGGAGTATTTTCCAAATCTTTAGTAGAGATCTTGGTAAACCGTAAATATACTGTATGAAATCTCACAAATAGATAAGCTGCTTCATACTCCAACAACTGCCGGTTTCTCTCTCCACCCTTTCGTTGCCATGAAGTTGAATAATAGACAGTACTGTGAATCTCGATATAATTTTACAAGAAATATGCAAAGGTTTAAAGTCTAAAAACAGAGCAAGATAAAGAACAATATTCTAAATACTCTCTTATCATCTTGTGAACCACAAAACATGTCTACATGGTACACCGTATGGATTTCAAAGTTGGCCTTGTATTTATAATACTGTAAACTCACATCATCACAGTTTGTGCTTCCACCATGTAAACACATGAGAGTTTGTCATATGACATAATAAGGGAACAAATCTCCCCGTTCACGGTGGTCTAGCAGGATCTTATCGTCGAGAACTCGCTTTCTACAAACAGCCGCAGCAACAGATCGGTGACTCAGAGCTGTCTGAGAGATGGAGGAATGAGCTCAGATACTGTACATTTAGCATAAAGATTCTACGTTCTAAACACAAAGTCAAAACAGCCGTCTGCACGATTTAATGACAATGAGCAATAATAATGCAAACTTGGGAGCGCTGCTTTCCGTGGTGCACAAACATAGATTATATCTGGAAGGAGTAGGGCACAGAATATACAGTGGGTCTCGGCCTGACAGTGACTCACGTGAACATCAACACATCAATCTACAAGGTGCTCCACGAGGGTTTTCGACAGGTACACTTCTGCCGATGTGTCAAGATGGACATTGTCTGAATGGATTGGAAAGATCCCTCTTCCATGTACAGTTACGAGTGTGGCTGTAGGAGCTCTGGAATCTGTGTGAATCTCTTCCCCTTCACATGGTCTCATTGTGGCCGGAAGAAAGGTCTCTTCTGGGGGTGGAGGCGCGGGATGACCCCTTGTCCGTGCTCTCTGAGCTGGAGCTCAGGTGCTGCTGCTCAGAGCCAGCGCTGGAGGTGACAGTGGAGGAGGAGGTGGAGGAGGAGCGAGTCTTCTCCTTAAAGTCTGTGATGATGACAGTCACATTGCCCACCGTTATAGCGAGCTGCTGAGCCGAGCTCCTGTCCACGTTCTTCAGTTTAGGTCTGAAGTGTAAGAGGAATGGAGAAAGAAGGAATTACACATCAACTATTACTGCACCGTTCATTTGCGTAAAGACTATTGAATGGATAGTTCACCCTAAAATGAAAACTGTCATCAGTTACTCACCCTCATGTCATTCCAAACAGTGTTAATATTATTAATGAAAATAAAATGAAAACCATTTTATATATATATATATTTTTTTTTTTTTTTTTTTTTTTTTTTTTTTTTTTTTTTTTTTTTTTTTTTTTTTTTTTTTTTTTTTTTTTTTTTTTTTTTTTTTTTTTTTTTTTTTTTTTTTTTTTTTTATAAACATTATTTCAGCTGGTTGCCAAGGAATCACTTCTTATATCTTTTAATTTAACATACTAAAATAACTACAATTGAAGAACTATTTAGAAAAAAAATGATTCAAAATATTAATAAAAACTGTATTATATCAAAATAACACAAATGGTTCCAAAACCGTAAGACATTCCTTATCTGCAATACACAAAATAATGATATTTTAATGAAACCTGAGAGATTTATGTCCCTCCACTGAAAGTTCATACAACCAAAACTTTCACACATCATAAAGTACAAAAAGATTCACATAAAAACACTGATTAACACACATACATAGAGCACATGGAATATGGTAAACTGAAGCTCAAATGTGCTTGACTGATGTGTGAGAACCAATCAGGTTTGTTCTTGCATGTACAGTTGAGTTTCTGTAAATGCTTGATGTGTTTTATGTACGTGCAATGATCTTTTTTTTTTTGTCTTTCTTATGTGTTTTGAACCATCACATTAGAATGAACATTTAATGGAGGAACAGAAAACTCTCAGAATTCATCAAAAATATCCTTATTTGTGTTTTAAAGATGAACAAAAGTCTTGTGGGTTTGAGAATTAATAATAAAATGTTCATTTTTGGGTGAACTAACCTTTTAAATATAAAGCAAGTTAGCAACGTTAAAAGGTGTGCCAAGTAATTTTTGGTTGTTTTGGCTGCAGATGTAGTATCTGCTGTAACTACATAAAGACAGCAAAATTATCTTTCCAAAAAGCACTGGCAGCCATTTCAAAGTGTGATGCAGCATCATGCAAAAGCAAACGATTTTGTAGCCAAAAGTGGTGGGCTCTCTTATTTACAATGAAACCGTTTTTTCTAGGCCTCTTAATATGACTACATGAGTCTTTACCTTATGTAAGTGCATACTTTCATACGCTTTTTTTTTTTTTTTTTTTTTTTTTTTTTTTTTTTTTTTTTTTTTTTTTTTTTTTTTTTTTTTTTTTTTTTTTTTTTTTTTTTTTTTTTTTTTTTTTTTTTTTTTTTTTTTTTTTTTTTTTTTTTTTTTTTTATAAACATTATTTCAGCTGGTTGCCAAGGAATCACTTCTTATATCTTTTAATTTAACATACTAAAATAACTACAATTGAAGAACTATTTAGAAAAAAAATGATTCAAAATATTAATAAAAACTGTATTATATCAAAATAACACAAATGGTTCCAAAACCGTAAGACATTCCTTATCTGCAATACACAAAATAATGATATTTTAATGAAACCTGAGAGATTTATGTCCCTCCACTGAAAGTTCATACAACCAAAACTTTCACACATCATAAAGTACAAAAAGATTCACATAAAAACACTGATTAACACACATACATAGAGCACATGGAATATGGTAAACTGAAGCTCAAATGTGCTTGACTGATGTGTGAGAACCAATCAGGTTTGTTCTTGCATGTACAGTTGAGTTTCTGTAAATGCTTGATGTGTTTTATGTATGTGCAATGATCTTTTTTTTTTTGTCTTTCTTATGTGTTTTGAACCATCACATTAGAATGAACATTTAATGGAGGAACAGAAAACTCTCAGAATTCATCAAAAATATCCTTATTTGTGTTTTAAAGATGAACAAAAGTCTTGTGGGTTTGAGAAGTAATTAATAACAAAATGTTCATTTTTGGGTGAACTAACCTTTTAAATATAAAGCAAGTTAGCAACGTTAAAAGGTGTGCCAAGTAATTTTTGGTTGTTTTGGCTGCAGATGTAGTATCTGCTGTAACTACATAAAGACAGCAAAATTATCTTTCCAAAAAGCACTGGCAGCCATTTCAAAGTGTGATGCAGCATCATGCAAAAGCAAACGATTTTGTAGCCAAAAGTGGTGGGCTCTCTTATTTACAATGAAACCGTTTTTTCTAGGCCTCTTAATATGACTACATGAGTCTTTACCTTATGTAAGTGCATACTTTCATACGCTTTTGTCAGAAGTACTTTTCACTTCATTAGGAATACACTACTGAGTGTCTTTAAATGCTTAATTCAGCACAAAGTTCTGAATATGATCATCCCGTTTTAGCGGTCTACATTGCAGCAAGTTAAAGAGTCCATGGATTATGCAACTAAAAAGACTATTAGCCGCTCAATGGATTTCCTCTTCATAACTCAAAGCAGTAACGGTATAAATTGAATATGAAGTCTTTAGTAGGAATCAAGAATACTCTAATGCAGGTAAAATCCTGCCTTAAAATCACAATGTAACATAAGTGGCAACAGATATTTGTACGTATTGTGATGTACATCCAAATGTAATGGATTATCGAAAAAATAAAAATGTAGGGTGGGGACTTGGTTCTATCCTCTAATTGTTGACTGAATGGAGAAATATCTGAATGCACGCTTGCAGAAGTCCGGCATACGCCACCAGAGAGAAGTCTCTCATTTTACAGAAAAAAATTAATCAATCACAACAAGCTCATTAAGATGCATTTAGAAGATAGATCATGTGAATTTCCATTTCATGCCGGCTTTAAGAACTGTTGAAGAGCAGATCAGTTCTGAACTTACCGTGAAATTATAGATTTGTTATTCTTCGTGACAGACTTGCCAGCCTTCATGCCGTTACTTTCCCCAGCTGGACCTTTCTGAATGAGTTTGGGCCTGTAAATGTTGATTCAATATGCCATTAGTAACTATTACCATACAACTTTCCCCACACTTTATCATTCATGTGTAAATGTATTTCTATAGCAATTCTCCACTGGTGTTTTATTTAACATTTACATGTATTCATTTAGCAGAAGCTTTTATCCAAAGCGATTTAGAAATGAGGAACATGCATTTCTCATTGAAGATTAGCAAATGAAATATCACCAGTTGAGTTATTAATATAATAAATTATCCAATAAATGAATACTTTTGTGTGTGATACTTGAACTGCTCCCGTTTTATAATCAGCTCTGAATAGAAATAACCGAATAAAACCTTTATAGAGTGCAACAGTGGCCATCTACTTCACAGTGGCCTTGGTTCCAGAACTATTTTTCCCATTCATTTTTCTCATAGGGATATTAAAAATGTTTTTGTTTAAGAATTCTAAGCCATGAACCAAACCAACCAGCTGCAAAGTGAGTCAAAACATTACAAACTAAGTATAAAAAAAAATCTTACAAAAAGACAAAAGGTACAAGACTGTGTACTTAATGGCTTTAATGAGGTAAAGAACTACCATCCCATGAAGCATTGCAAATAAAAATCTAATTAAAAATGGAGAAATCTGAACTTACCGTGAAATTATAGATTTGTTATTCTTCGTGACAGACTTGCCAGCCTTCATGCCGTTACTTTCCCCAGCTGGACCTTTCTGAATGAGTTTGGGCCTGTAAATGTTGATTCAATATGCCATTAGTAACTATTACCATACAACTTTCCCCACACTTTATCATTCATGTGTAAATGTATTTCTATAGCAATTCTCCACTGGTGTTTTATTTAACATTTACATGTATTCATTTAGCAGAAGCTTTTATCCAAAGCGATTTAGAAATGAGGAACATGCATTTCTCATTGAAGATTAGCAAATGAAATATCACCAGTTGAGTTATTAATATAATAAATTATCCAATAAATGAATACTTTTGTGTGTGATACTTGAACTGCTCCCGTTTTATAATCAGCTCTGAATAGAAATAACCGAATAAAACCTTTATAGAGTGCAACAGTGGCCATCTACTTCACAGTGGCCTTGGTTCCAGAACTATTTTTCCCATTCATTTTTCTCATAGGGATATTAAAAATGTTTTTGTTTAAGAATTCTAAGCCATGAACCAAACCAACCAGCTGCAAAGTGAGTCAAAACATTACAAACTAAGTATAAAAAAAAATCTTACAAAAAGACAAAAGGTACAAGACTGTGTACTTAATGGCTTTAATGAGGTAAAGAACTACAATCCCATGAAGCATTGCAAATAAAAATCTAATTAAAAATGGAGAAACGATTAACTTTAAGATGTTGCATATAGCAAATATTTAAGTAGTTAGAGGGCAAAGGGGGCATACCAACTATTACGTGATTTGCAGTGCTTCACGTAATTTTTGACACGACTTGCTCATTTTAATTCTCTGGTTGGTGAAGATTAATTTGAACAATTATGGGTAACGTAGTTTTTCACCAGAATTTCCAACGTCATTAAAAAAATAAGTTGAAATAATGTGGATTAATGGCTTCAACAAAAGCACGCAGCTCACAGCTGGTCTGTCTTTATAGGTTTATAAATTGTTAAAAATCAGTTCCCCTGTGGAGAAAATTGATGGGATTTTTAATTCCAGAACCCCACTGTTATAAAGTAAAAATACATGCATTAACAGAATTTGGCATAATGAATTAATTGCACGTGCTTGTTAACTTTGACAGCCCTAATAACAATATCTGATTAGATCAGTCTAAAAGGAAAAAGACCACTTGCAGAGCATGGCTGCATAAAAACACTCACTTGATCTTCTTAGCAGTGGGTTTTTTACTGGGCGTGAGGCTTTTAGGTCTCTCTTTGTGTTTCTCCATCATGGCTCTCTCTATTTTTCCTTTTTTGAGTTCCTCTCTCTCTGCACCCATCCTCTCTGCCGGCTGCATCCCAGAGCCTGCCGTGTGCGGATGATCTTTATCCATGTGCTGAAGTTTGTCCAGCATTGCTCTGTCCGTGTGCTCTCTGTCTGCTCTGTTGTGCTGATGCTGCTGCAGCATGTCTGGGGTCAGTCCTGCTATCTCAGGCCTCCTGTCTGTATGGAGCGACTGCGGTTTGTCTAGACCACGCTCCTGTCTCCGCTCCTTGTGAGAATGTCCACGGTCCAGCTGACCTCCATCCAGACCTAATCTCTCGGGATGGTCGGAGTCAGGGTGGAGACTGCTGAGCCTATCCGAGTCGGAGTTGTCCATGTCGAAGTGGTCGTCGTCAGGCAGGTCTCTATCTGTCCTTTCCCTTCTTTCTTTCTTGGCTGGAGGTGGGGCGGTGTACTGTTGAGCGACCTGCTGTGCCACGAGTTGAGAGTTTATCCTAGGTTTTCTAGAAAAGAAAATGTTACCAGAAATCAAGTGCTTTGTCAATACTGATGTCAATTTATATAGCCTTAACCACCATAGACCCTGAGGGGGATGAGAAAAAATTCTGAAATTCTAATTCCAATATAAAGTGCTCTGTTTGTTGTTAGGACGACCAAAGGTTTAAAAGTTACAAAGTAAAAAAAAACAGTTAAAAGGCTGGTCTGCCTCGGGGGTCTAACAGAGCTCATCAATGTCAAAATGATTAAGATGGCCAATCAAATCAAAATTAGGTGCGAAGCATTGTAAGAGCAGAATAAGATGGATGTAGCAAAACATTTAATATTTCACAACCGTTTTACTATAAAAATGTTGAATGACTGACAGAAATATGGCTGTTTTGAAGTGAAAATATGGTATAATTTATGTGATTCATGTAATTCCTAACTGAAAATGATGAGACATGAAACATTTTGACACATTAGGCATACAAATAAAAGTGCATCTGTTTAAAATATTATTTGCAAATATTTCAAAATGATTACTTACCAACTAGAATTAGACTTAGAATTTCCTTCACTGTTCTATTTCTAATAAATAAATAAATAAGGTTACGGCCTTGGAGTGCAGGACAACAGATGACCAAAAAATGCTTCTTTAAAATATGATGCCAAACGACCCTCACACAACACCATTTGAAATAGTAAAGATTTTGAAATGGAAAAGAAATATTAAACACAAAACCTTATGTGTCCCACTTTGCCAGCTTTTGCCCTAATATATGCTCAGTGCATTTAGGACACATTTACTAATTCTTTATAAAAACTAATTTCCATATTAATATTGATAGTAAAGTTTATATTACATATTATCAAAACTATGAAATTACACAAATGAATGTATTGGAATTATAGAAAGATTTCTGAAAAACCATGTGACACTGAAGACTGGAGTAATGATGCCTTGCATCAGGAATCAATTACATTTTATGTAATATATGCAATATATTACCATAGAAAACAGCCATTTTAAATTGTAATAGTATTTCAAAACATGACTGTTTTTACTGTTTTGATCAAATAAATGCAAACGATCACATAAATACATTTGGTAGGCACAAAAGACCACTTTCAAAAACATGAAAAAAAATTACCCGTCTCAAACTTTTAACTTGGCTGTAGTGTATTACATGGAGTATTATTATAATATTTTAAAATGTGTATTGGCCCTTTTTAAAGGCTGTCATTATATATGAACTGATACAAGGGTGAACAACTACTTCTGGAGGTTTGGAAAAATGCTGTGCTTATTGACCAATGCAGATACTTTCAAAATGGCAATTACTCGGATGATACATTTGGTCTATCAATAATTCAAACACATGAAGTTCATGTCTCAATGTCCTCAATACTTTTTTTCATACTGGCACAGCAGAAAGCATTGAGAGATGCTTTAAGGTTATGAGCAATGGGAGTATTCTGGGTTTAAAACATACCTCTCTGAGTCAATTTCAGTTGGAGAATCACAGTAAATACATGTGGATCCGAGTTAACAACACCCTGCTGACAGTTCAGGTCTTTGATTGGTGGCTCTCTAATGATGTTCTAATTACATTACCTGTTCCAGATTTAACTTCATACTGACAGCACATAATCACCATCCCCTAATCTTATTAAAGAACAAAACGGAGATAATTTAGCTAAATAAATACAAATTAATGCTGCAACATCATAACACAAATCTTACATACAACACCTAGTCTGGAAACATTACATTGTTTTGCACCAATTAACTGTGATTATGGAGTATTACCACAGTTTTGAGTTATGCAAAAATCCTCTTTGACAAGTGGAAAAATTACTTTGACATTTTTTGCATTTTTATAAGCGTGTGGTCCACTTCACAGCATGAGAATGGCTTAAAAGCGAGACAGAGAAAGGGTTTCTGTGCCGGTTTGTTTGTGTGTCTGTCTGTGTGGCACCCTGCTGATTCCCTCAGCTGTTGCTACTCTGGTGTGTAAGAGTGGCCAGACAAAGACGACACTCACTCAAGTCAGCAGAAGCACACCTCAGAACGGCGTAATAAACCCGGCCTCATCAAACAACCTCTCTATGAGAGAGCAGGGACTGATCCTGTTGCTTTAACAAAGCCAGAAAATCAACATTCAAGCATGCAATTTACGCCGAGAGGAGATGTCTGCGTACTTCACGCCGTACACAATACATGAAAAGACTGTCACTTTGGCAGAGATATGAACACCTGCGATAAAGCCAGTGAGCACTCGCCACATTCATCCCACTAGAATATTTGGTTGAAAACAGGTAATGGAGCAAAAGGATATGGGGTTTCTTTCATGATGTCAATTTTAAGAGCAAACCGTTTGGAAATAAAAAGAAAGATGAAACACTTTGCATATACACTGGAGTCCAAACGTCTGAGACCACCGGTGATTTTTATTTAATTTTTTTTAATTTTCACAATTTAACAAAAATATCAAGTATAAAAATTTTAAGTTTAATAAAAAAAAATTAAAAAAAGGCATTTCAAAATTCCTCAAAAAGCATCTGATGTTTGGTGGAAACATCTGATATTTTGTACGGAGTTCAATGACACAAATTTGCTTTGCTTATTTGATTAGTGACCTAGAATTGTGTCAGAAATATCCCTGCTGTATCCCATAATCCACTTTTGGGAAATCTTAAACAGCTAAAATAATTATACACTACCATCTGTGCTGTGCTTTTGCAAAACAACTATGAACATACTGAATATCTACTACAAAAAATGCATTCTTTTTCACCATTGGCCTATATATATCTTTAATTTGACAGACAGACCCCCTCATCTAATCCACTTATCTTTTCAGAGACTATGGCTGCATGCCATAGGCGCCAATAATACCCTAAATTCTAGCACATAACATCATCAATAAGATAACATCAGTGCATTAGTGACCACAGCAATACATCAAGCCATGTGTTTCATATTTTGCACAGCACTGAACAAACAGCACAGCGTGCATAACAAAACAACAACGCTGCACTAGCAAATCTGAGATGTGTTAAAGCTCTTGCAGTTTCCCATTTCCTATAGGATCACATAATGGGGCCCTGCGCACAGACCAGGACACCTCCACAGCAGCCGGATCCTGCCGCCTTGTCCTAGTGTGTCATTGAAATTCTACAGGAATCACATGACGTCAGTATGGACAAAGACACAATCCAGAGCAACAAGACAAAATATCAATGTTGACATCTTCACTGCATGCATGTGCATTGTGTTTATGACGGCTATGAATGCATAGCTCCCTCTTATAAGCTGCAGTGTCACTTTACCTTGTAGATGTACCTTTCCGCACATCACATATACTGCATTTGAATGCCTCTGCACTGTTTTTGAAGGTGCAGACGCTACAGTCCCAAAATCCGTTGTCTGCAGAGGGCTTGGCTTGTCTTTTTGGCCTACAAGATTTAAAGGGAGAATTGGTTAGGGTATTTAAATAGCATGCTGCACCCTAATTAGTGCAAATGTCATCATGTGCACTAATTCTACGTGCTGTATTCAGACGCCCGTCCTCCACAACCACACTATTACACTCGCAATCTGACGATTTTGCATGCCTAAAGGGTAAACTGGCTTTATCTGTTGAAAAAAGGCGAAGATAAAAGAAGAGAGGAGGCGTTTCCTAAATTCTCTTTGTCTAAAGTTGGATACCGGGAGTCAGGCAAGGCTCCGTGTCCGCCATGGCTGCGCTTTTTTCCGTTAAATCCGACCAGGAAAAATAAGTAGACTTCAACCGCATTACGTGGCTATTCGACAGTGTACACAAACGCGCAAGATGCTTTATGAAAAGACAGAGCGAATGAGATGTTTCTATACCTGGATGGGCTTTTCTTGTCGCCCATAATGGGAGAAACACCGTCTTCCAGAGGAGGGGGCTTCTGTAATGTACAGTGTGAGCTCCAGACAGAGCCACTGCTGCTGTTATCGCACACTTGCACTCGCTGACCGCCGCAGCGCGAGGCGTCGCTCCGTCACGTGACCTCGTCCTGAGCCAATCACAACTCGCGCACGTTTAAAAGTCTAAATGTTTTATACATAAATGTGTTTGTTTGAAACTGTAACCACTGCAAATGGCATACCTTCACTGTAACCTGTGAAAAATATAGCAACAATAAATAAATAAATGATGGCATGCTTCATAGGATACGTCGAAATAAGTCGAGACACTACACTGAAAATGAAATCTAATTAAATCATGAAAATAAACAGAAGTTTTACAGAAGTTGAAAACATCTCTGAAAAAAGGGAAAAGAAAGGTTTTGACATAAACTGAAAAAACATATATCAAACGAGTAACTTTGTGACATTGATCTTGTGACTCCTTTGCACAAAAGGTCAGATGTTCTTGCTTCCACTGAAACACAAGAAAAACTGAAAAATCCCCAAATCAGGCAAGCACACACACACACACACACACACACTTTATCGTAGCCCTTAGATAATTCAGATCTTATTTAACGTTACAGTTTTAAAAAAGACACGCAAGTTTAATGACACTTAATATATGTATAAGCTCTATTTGTGGAATCACAAAGGAACAAATTATAGAAAGACTTTAAATGAAGGTTAGCAATAACTGAGAGGAGAATAATAAAATAAAGGAGAGAGGAGAATAATTAACATTAAAACTTCATTCTTCGTGCATACACTGCTTCCCTCTGGTTAGCTTTTAATTTACAGTGTCTTGCAAATATATTCAGACATATTTAAACTTATTCCATTTCATTGAATTACATATCCGTTCATGTTTACAACCCTGCTCTTCATTTTCCTATAATTAAGTTCTGAGTTCTAAAATTCCTTTGTTATTATTCTGCTATTCTTTAGTGCTGTTCTTCATTACATAGTATTGATAAGTGCTATTTCAATGCAACCCCATAAGAAAGACATAAAGCATCAGAACCAACCAGAACTGTTTTTTATGCGTTTTCTGGATTGAAAAATCACTGCCTCTGCCTAAACAACTAAATATCAGTATACATACATGTTACAAGTTCCACTTGTAATTTTACCTTCAACTTTTTTCTTTCTTTCTTTCTTTCTTTTTTTTAGTAGATAGAAGCACAAAGGTTACAGATTGATATATAAACAATCGCGATTGTTTCTTGCTCCTCTATGCAGGATGAAGAGTTTTCATCAACACGGAGACCCGGCGCATGCGCAGCAGCAACAGCCAGGCCGGTAGTGACGTCACCGGCGCCATATTAAAGATTTGCTGCTGTTTTCTCCGTGTCGCTGTTGCCATCTTTCTGTTTCCAGCTGGACTCAGAGAGACCAGAGAGTAGCAAACATACCACCACAATGGAAATCGACACACTTATGGGAGCATTTAGAGGTACCGCAGGCACCATCTGACCAATAACGGTTAACAGAAAAGGTTTGGTAAATTCGTTAGCTTGTAAGCTAAGCTAGGAACTCAAACTAGCAGCCGATGCTAGGTGTTGATCCAGCGGGGGAAACCATTAAATATCACGAGTAATCGATATCGATTGGTTCTCAGCAGTACACAGAAAATGTGTTTGAGTTGATTTTGTTGATGTACCTGGTCGGAAGTTGATAAAGTGCTCTGCAACCCAGCAACAGATAGAAAGCCGGTTAGCTCTGAGCTACACTGCTGTTACTATGTGAGCACTCAATACACGAGCTTAGTCGTTTATTTAACGTTACTGTCAGAAACTTCTTACTTGCATTAACGTAGCTGCATAGTCAGCATAAAAAAGTTTCTCGGGCGCTTGTTTGTGTGGCATAACTTTGTAGAAAAGTGTGAGTGGATTATATAATAACTACAGAAGAGCCAAAGTTGCTGACTGAGTGATGCATTGAAACTGTCATAGATCATTGATGCTGACATTGTTTATAAACTCAAGATATTAGATTGTATACAAATATTTTGACATATCCATAATCCAGTTTTCCTCCATGATCATATTGTGAATTCTTCAATTCAGGCACCAAAGTGCTCCATTGGTATTCTTCATACAAAATTGCCATAGCATGAATGCACACTGTAAGCAATAAAAAATAAAGTAAGATATCAGTAATGTTAAACAGAATATGCAATAGAATCAAAGTATTTCTACAAGAAGCATTATTATTTTACTTTGTTGTTCACTGTAGATTTCGAGAAGAAAGGAGAAAAGGAAACCTGCCCCATTTTGGATCAGTTTCTATCGCATGTTGCAAAAACAGGAGAGACCATGTAAGTTCAGTTCTCGCACACACAGATTCTACAGATGCTGTTCTAAAGAGAATATTGCTTTTATAGACAAACTTTTTTCAAGGACACTAGCCTGGTTTAAACCTCGGAATAAAACAGGTAATTGTGACTTTTCATCACGTAATTCTGACTTTGTCTTACAATCCTGCGTTTGTATATTGCAATTTTTGAGTTTTATATCTCATGATTCAGGCCTTTTAACATCTCACAATTCAGATTTTTTTTCTTATAATTGAAAGTGTCTGCATGGTTCATAAAATGTACTCTTAGTTGAACAAAATGTTCATTTCATGAATGTAATATTTGATTTTGTGCATTAATATGAACATGAAATAAATGTGCAAAAACATTTTCTGATCCAGACAGACCCATTTATCCACAAAATAATCACGCTTTAATAGAGATCAACTGAAAATCCTAAGAATAAAACCAAATAGGGATGTAACGATTAACCGCGAGCCTGTTGAAAAACGATTCAAATATGTGACGATTCAAATCGGTTGAGATGCTAAACAAATCGCGATTCATTTAGGTGTAGGAGTTTATATGAATGTATGTCTGAGGGGAACTTACTGTCTTTAGAAAAGTTTAGATGGTATTTTTTCTTTTAATCTTGCCTCTGTATAATGCATATTAAAGTTCATAAGTGCAGAGCTGCTTTGTTTACAGCGGAAACCAAGCAAACGCTCTAAGCACCACCTGCTGGCAGAGAGTGAATCTGCATCTCATTCAGCTTTGCTGTTTCATGCAGATATTTTTATTTATAGTTTCACAAAACTGAAGTCAAACCATTATGTTTTTGCTTCAAATTTCGAAATTATACAATCCAATTTAGATTAAAAACTGCTCATGTTGCATGTATGCAGCATCTTTGTTTGGATCAAGAATGCAGTGGTTGCCTCTAATTTAAAAAGGAAAGAGCACAGACAAAGCCTTAAGTTTGTTTATATGAAGAGATTTCTTTTATTTGTGTTACTTATTTATTTGATTTGGGGCTTGTTTTAATATTTCAATTT